TTTAAGATCATGCCAAACAGTCTCGAGGGCACTCAAAAATCGTCCCTTTTCGCATTTTCTGCGCTGAACCTTCAAAAAAGCTTTTCCAAGTCTACAACTTTGTGGGGCTACGGCTGCTTCAATGTATAAAATAAAATCACACAAATGCTTGCAAAATGGCCTATAAGTCTTTTGATGACTATTTGTTCTATGACGTGGTAAAGATAATGCGGATTTAATTTCACAAAAATGAAACAACATAAATTTGAATAAGGAGCGTTCCATGGACCGCAGGTGACCCTTCATAAAAGATCCGAACAGCAACACTGATGTTGCCCGTTGACATAGTGGAGCAAATGTAAACTAGTAAACAAATACGCTTTGACCTCATAATTGGCATCTTAGACATTCGCAGGCGAATTTTTAGCAAGATCTGATCCAGCATCTTTGAAAAATAATATGAAACGGAACTCAAAATCTGATGATTGTCTAAAGTTTATGTACTGGCATAAAAATTTGAAAATTAACGAAAATTAAGTAGAACAAAACTTCAAAGGATAGAACGCTACCTCGTCAAAATCAAACCCTGACTCGAGAATAGCCTTGGCGGCAATGGATGCATCACCAAAAGTTGGTGGAGCTCGGCCGATGTCATTTCCAGTAAGGATGAATTTTGAGGAATAAAGGCGTTGAAGAGCAGCTTTTGCCTTGTCTCCAATACAAACAACGCGAATGTCCTTTTGACCAGCTTGTGCCAGGATGCTTTTGGCTTCCTTAAAATGCTAATTAAAAAAAGGCCAAAATAAGCCAAAAGAGACACTCAGGAAAGTGCTGAAAAAGCTCATAAAATTGCAGTACTACATAGCTCCCCAAATCTGAAAACACCTCTAAACATGTGTACTGTTTGCCATCAAAACTGCATCACCTCACAAAAAGATTCACAGCAGCCTCCATCTCCAAAAACTCCTCTACTTTTCCTGAGATACCCCATACTAGAAAAAAGTCCAAATACTACATCTACGAATGGAAAAGATATGCATAAATAAACTTTTCTGCGTCTTATTGACATCACCTTTCCGAGGTCATCGTCATATCTAGCGACAAATTCAGAAGGACACCATGGTGTTCTCAGAACTACAGAAATATGAAATTGTGCGCGTAGATAACTTCGTATATTCGTGAATAAAGGAAGGAACGATTCAGCAAAAGCGAATGAACTATCTTTAACGCATCCGATGCATTAATAAGAATATGTAGTATACACCAATATAGATAGGGACACACAACGATTATAACAGACGAAGCGCAAGGGATATGAGCATACCTTAGCAATCGCATTGTGGACACCACCACACAAGCCTCTGTCGGAGGTGACGAGCACTAACAACTGCTTTTGTTTCTCCTCCTTCGGTTCACTTTCACCCGTTGGGTTGATATTGTCAAAAAAAGTTTTCGCTCCCACTCCATAAGCACGTGCGCCCTTAAAACCACTGTACAGATGCTCTTAAATGCACTAATGCTGCTTATTTTTTTTATTTATTTTTTTCAGAAGTGTGTAGATTACTCTTCTACTACTTATGAAAGTCAAAACATTTCTAATCACGAGAAAAGATTGAGCACAATGGCGAAAAAGGCATTTGTTACCCTTAAGTCACGCTCAGCTTTGGCATACTTGGCAGCGGCCACCATCTTCATTGACTTGGTGATCTTTTGGATATTTTTGATGGACTTTAACCGCATAGAGATATCCTAAATGTGTTTCAACATTGCATGCAGTAATAAGCTCCTCTTTCAAATTATGATCAAGGGTGCAGCATACTTAGACAACTGTAAAATTACCTTAAGGGTGGCAAAGCCCCTCTGCTGCTCTGCAACAGCAGATGAGACCACAAGCTGAAGGGATCCTGAGCTAAGACGAAACATGATGCCACCCTAAAAAGTATACACTATCTACAATCAAAATTTGGGAAAATATATGCGAATGTATCGACGAACTATAGATGATATGCAAAACTTTTGTTTTCCTAACTGGATCTAAATATGCAGCCTATAAGTAACACAACATTCCAAGTCCTAAAAATAAGAGATTTGTAAATTCTTTATGAAGGGTCAATTCATGAAACAAACTCTAATTTCTGACCCTGCACATTACTTATCCTCATTACCCCACAATGAAATACAAAGAAAAAGAAGAAAATGGACAGAATTAGAAAAGACTCGATACTTGTGCGTCGCAACAGATGAAATGCTCCTTATCGCTTCAATTTCGATTTAATATCCCCTTCCAATAAATGCAATTCTAAAAAAAAAAACAAAAGCTTCGAAAAATAAATAAAAACAGGAGAAAAGCAATTTTTGCCGGAAAAGCCGCCCGTTGCTCCATCGCTGCAATGATCAGGGACTTCCGAGTGGGACCCATGCGGAGTCAATTTTTATTATCGTTCAGCCTGTTGAAGAACTTGCAAACGTTTTGGCTAGAAGTCGCTTTGGTAAAATATGATTTTTTCAGTTAAATGGGAGAGTACAGTCTGGATTGTTTCACTAAAAGATTATCCATCAGTCTCATTGTTGCGCTCTTTATAAAGAGGTTTATCACAGTTCCGCTGTCGTTTCATTAAGTGGTACTCGCTTCTTCTTCTTTCTTTCTTATGGTTCTATTTACTGTTCCTAATCCATTATTCACTGTGTACGATCCATCATTTAGATTTGAGAGGACTGACCCTTTGATGCTGTTATATTTTCG